TTGTGTCCTCGCTTCATATAAAAGGATTAACCCGGGGATGGTGGAATGGACTCTAGAAGACTTATATGTTGGTCTAACTTACCTTTAACAACTAAGGTGGGACTAAACCCTCCACAATATCTCATAACATGCACATGGGCCACTATGGGCTAAATTCTAAACTGGGCCGGATGTGACAATATTCTACATATATATTTCTTTTTTTGCAACACCCAACTATTGCCTCTAATAAATTTATCTTGACAATAGACGATACAACTATACAAGTACACTTTAGCGAGAGAGAAAAATAGATAATTTTGAAATTAAAAATAAACATTTTTTTGCTTGAAGAATCACCATTTCTTTATGCAACGGCTAGATTGAAAATTGGCACCAACCAAATAAGTAGATCGTAGGTGACCATTAAGAATTTTTTGTTGGTAGAAGTCAAATGTAGTAGAAATTAAAAGCTCTCTTGTTTGTAATAATAATGTAGTAGAACTTAATTTCATCTGACAACCAATTTAAAATTTATTATAGGTACAAGAATCCAAGGAACGTAGAGGCTCCAGCACAAGCTTTGCTTGATGCCAAGAGATAAGTTTGAGCTCACATTGATCACATTAATGACACAAATGTAGTGGATGCTTAGTCACTTATGAATCCCTTATTTTTTATGCTAACTCCATCAACTATGGAAATTAATTAAGCTAGGAAAAAATCTAGAAAGCAAAAGACATCCAATGCAATAATTTTCTTTATGAAAGGGCATCCTATGAAATTATCACCAATTCCCGAATTGTAAATATCAATATAAAGTTAATACCATCTATCAATAACTATGAAAAAGAAGTAATTTTAAAGTTTTTAAAAGGAGTAAGGGAAAAAAAGAAACAAAAAATTTGGGGCCCTGTATGAAGATATTGTGTCTCCATGAATTATTTGTCCAAAGAACTACTAACCAAAGAAGTAGATGGTAGGTGACCATTAAGAATTTTTTGGTGGTAGAAACCAAATGTAGTAGAAATTTAAAGCTCTCTTTTTGTATCAATAATGTTGTAGAACTTAATTTCATGTGGCAACCAATTTAAAACTTATTATAGGTAGAAGAATCCAAGGAACATAGAGTCTCCAACAATTTATTCTTGGTAAAGAATATCTTTACTTGTGTATTCTACACATATATATTTATTTTTTGCAACATGCCTCTAATAGTTTTATCTTGACAATAGATGATACAACTATACAAGTACATGTTAGCGAGAGGAAAAATAGATAATTTTCGAATTAAAGATAAACATTTTTTTGCTTGAAGAACCACCATTTCTTTATGCAACGGCTAGATTGAAAATTGTCACCAACCAAAGAAGTAGATGGTAGGTGACCATTAAGAATTTTTTGTTGGTAGAAGTCAAATGTAGTAGAAATTAAAAGCTCTCTTGTTTGTAGCAATAATGTAGTGGAACTTAATTTAATCTGGCAACCAATTTAAAATTTATTATAGGTAGAAGAATCCAAGGAACACAGAGGCTCCAGCACAAGCTTTGCTTGTTGTCAAGAGATAAGTTCAAGCTCACATTGACCACATTAATGGCACAAATATAGTGGATGCTTAGTCACTAATGAATCCCTTATTTTTTATGCTAATGCCATCAACTATGGAAATTAATTAAGCTAGGAAAAAATTAGAAAGCAAAATACATCCAATGCAATAATTTTCTTTATGAAAGGGCATCCTATGAAATTATCACCAATTCCAAAATTGCAAATATAAATATAAAGTTAATACCATCTACCAATAACTATGAAAAAGAAGTAATTTCAAAGTTTTTAAAGGAGTAAGGGGAAAAGGAAGCAAAAAATTTGGGAGCCTATATGAAGATATTGTGTTTCCATGAATTATTTTTCCAAAGATGTACTAACCAAGGAAGTAGATAGTAGGTGACCATTAAGAATTTTTTGTTGGTATAAATCAAATGTAGTAGAAATTAAAAGCTCTCTTGTTTGTAGCAATAATGTAGTAGAACTTAATTTCATCTAGCAACCAATTTAAAATTTATTATAGGTAGAAGAATCCAAGGAACATAGAGGCTCCAGCACAAGCTTTGCTTGATGCCAAGAGATAAGTTCGAGCTCACATTGACCACATTAGTGACACAAATGTAGTGGATGCTTAGTCACCGATGAATCCCTCATTTTTTTATGTTAACGCCATCAACTATGGAAATTAATCAAGCTAGGGAAAAATCTAGAAAGTAAAAGACATCCAATGCAATAATTTTCTTTCTGAAATGGCATCCTATGAAATTATCACCAATTCCCAAATTGCAAATATAAATATAAAGTTAATACCATCTACCAATAACTATGAAAAAGAAGTATTTTCAAAGTTTTTTAAAGGAGTATGGGAAAAAAGAAACAAAAAAATTGGGGGCTTATACGAAGATAATGTGTTTCCATGAATTATTTGTCCAAAGAACTACTAACCAAGGAAGTAGATGGTAGGTGACCATTAATAATTTTTTGGTGGTAGAAATCAAATGTAGTAGAAATTTAAAGCTCTCTTGTTTGTAGCAATAATGTAGTAGAACTTAATTTCATCTGGCAACCAATTTAAAATTTATGATAGGTAGAAGAATCCAAGGAACATAGAGGCCCCAGCAATTTATTCTTGATAAATAATATCTTTACTTGTGTATTCTACATATACATTTCTTTTTGTCAACACTCAACTATTGCCTCTAATAATTTTATCTTGACAATAGACAATAGAACTATACAAGTACACGTTAGCGAGAGAAAAAATAGATAATTTTTAAATTAAAGATAAACATTTTTTTGCTTGAAGAATCACCATTTCTTTATGCAATGGCTAGATTGAAAATTGGCATCAACCAAAGAAGTAGATGAAAGGTGACCATTAAGAATTTTTTGTTGGTAGAAGTCAAATGTAGTAGAAATTAAAAGCTCTCTTGTTTGTAGCAATAATGTAGTAGAACTTACTTTCATCTGGCAACCAATTTAAAATTTATTATAGGTACAAGAATCCAAGGAACATAGAGGCTCTAGCACAAGCTTTGCTTGATGCCAAGAGATAAGTTCGAGCTCACATTGACCACATTAATGGCACAAATGTAGTGGATGCTTAGTCACTGATGAATCCCTTATTTTATGCTAACGCCATCAACTATGGAAATTAATTAAGATAGGAAAAATCTAGAAAGCAAAAGACATCCAATGCAATAGTTTTCTTTATGAAAGGGCATCCTATGAAATTATTACCAATTCCCAAATTGCAAATATAAATATAAAGTTAATACCATCTACCAGTAACTATGAAAAAGAAGTAATTCCAAAGTTTTTTAAAAGAGTAAGGGGAAAAAGAAACAAAAAGTTTGGGGCCTGTATAAAGATATTGTGTTTCCATGAATTATTTGTCCAAAGAATGGCTAAATATTAACAAAAACTAGATGTGCCCCATTTGGTTAGAAAAAATTAACTCCCATATCATAATTTGTCTTGAGTTTGTATTGGCACCATTTGAACTCTAGTGAGTTGCAATGTGCCATAAACCTAATATATTTGTTTATCAACTATATGGTTATATTATATTTTCTTTAACTAAAGTTTGGTTATTTTGTCAATCCATAACTAACTATATTGTTTGCTATTATACTTGCATTATCTATAGGAAATTCATTCTTGTATCCTTAAGCTCCAATGATGTAGGGCATGTCACGCATAGTCATAGATAATAATGGTAGCACGACTCAATAATGTTTGAACCATTCTGATAATTAACTCAACAATATTCTAATTATCTTTTCTTGAGCTAAATTGTTGGTATTTTATTGGTGTGGTGCTAATAACCACTAGAAAGCATCGCTAGAGTTTTTCAAAATGCATATATAATTGATTGTATTATCCCTTTTTAGTTCCTTAACATATGTGACACTCAGCCACACCATTCGTTACCACATTTTAATAATTCATAGTTTGTCGTATATTAGTAACGAGCGGGAATGCAATATCCGCTCAGCTTATGTATGGAATATTCACCATGCTATGCGTTACCGGATTTCAATAATTCATAGTTTGTCGTATTTCAATAACGATAAAAGATGCAACATACGTTCGTCGTTATTATATGTTACTGTATCCATTAGATACATAAGTATTTCCTTTTCTAGGGAAAAGTTGTTCGCATACTGTCGGAATGGAACGGTGTTACGCCATAAATCAAATAAGAAGATTTGCAATAATCCACAATATATAAATAACTCACCATGGTTATACTTAAAGCTAAATGTAATAGTTCTTGAACTTCAACTTATATTAGTCTATTATTTATACATAATGTTTTTTATTCATAAATAAGATCTTTACTTGTGTAGTCTCTCTCTCTATATTTGTTTTTTGTTCAACACTTAACATTCATCACCCAATTCTACATTATATTGGTAACTTCAGAGGAACTAGTTAGAGAGACTTTGTTCATATAGTAAATTTTGACAATCTAACTACCTCTAATAATTTTTATCTTGACAATAGACAATACTTATCTTGACAAGCTAATATTAGTAACAATAGACATGTTAGCAATAGGAAGAAAACATATAATTTTCAAATTAAAGGTAAATAATTTTTTTCTTGAATAATAATCACCATTTCTTTATACAACGGCTAGATTGAAAGTCGCCACCTACCAAAGAAGTAGAAGGTAGTAGGTGAGTGTTAAGAGTGTTTTGTTCGTAGTAATAAATTGTAGTAGAAATCAATAGCATCCAAAAAAAAACCCAACTGGAAAACTTAGAGAGGGGAGAAGAAGCCAAGGATACAGTGCCGGGAATCCCATTCCCCCTAAATCGCCTATAAATAGGGGCCCGCCCGCTCCCATCACAATCACCCCTCACTCGCTCAATTCCCATTCCAAGTCCCCCGCTCCCGGATTCCCGACGACGAGCTCAGAGCTCCTCCTCCCCGGCTCCTTTTCGGTGCTCGAAGCAACAGCTGCCGCCATGTCTGCCGCGAACCAGCTCGCCGCCCTCATCGCCAACATGTTCGCCACGGTAAGGGTCTCCCTCCGCTGCACGACCGCTGGATTCTCGTATTTCGGCGCCACTGGTGTGGAATTCGGGTTGTGGCTGACGGGATTGCGCTCTGTTTTGGTGCTAGGGTTTGCTTGACGATCAGTTCCAGCAGCTGCAGATGCTGCAGGACCCCAGCGCCCCTAACTTCGTCTCTGAGGTCGTCACGCTCTTCTGCCACGACGGCGAGCGGATCATCGGGGAGCTGGCCAAGCTGCTGTATGTGTGGTTCCTCACTCGTTGTTCTGTTTTCTGTGATCGAATCGTTGCGTTGTGGGGGGATGGATTGAATCTGATTCCTGCAATTTTCTGTTTCTGTGCCTGTGCAGGGACAAGCCCACCGTGGATTTTGACAGGGTCGATGCCTTTGTGCATCAGCTCAAGGGTAGCAGTGCTAGGTGATTACCTTGTTCATACCCTGTTCTTGAAATGCATGTGTAATGGAATGGGGTATGCAATGCCATTAAAATGAGGAGGGGGGATTTAAATTCGTGCAATGATTGATCTGGCTTGCAAAATTAATTCTGTGTGCTATTGGACCGGATCAGTTAAATATCAGTTTTTCACATTCTGTTTGGAAACTGGTGCCATTGGTTCGAATTGTTGTGTTCTGCGATGTGGATCCAACACATGTTGTCTTATGCACACACCAGTGACACAACTTGAAAAGGAAATCTTCAAATTCCCCCGTTTTAAGTTGTGTTTCGAATCCATTTGGGGAAGGGATTGCCATATATTTTGAGTTGTGTTTCAGATCCGTTTTGGGAGGGTTTGTCATCTATTTTCTCGTTATTGTGACATAAAATGTAAAAACATGCTCCCCACCACACTAATCAAATAACTCAAGTGGCACTAGTGAACCCTCCCCATTTTTAGTGCTTTAGTTTCATGTTATACTAGATATGGAATTCACAGCCAAGACACAGCAGTAGTTGCTTGTCTGTAGGGGAAATGGGGGATGCATGTCTTGCCTACCTCAAAATGATTTGGTGTTCATGTTATGTTGCCTGGATTATAAATGAATCATTTTATGCATTATATAGTTTTTTCCTTATCTTGGATGCAGATCTGTTTAGGATTTGTGGATATGAAGCACCTATGCTATTACATTTTGAATAATTGTGTCATGAAAACAAATAGAGGATAATCAAGACTTATCAAGGGTATCAAATGAAAATGTTATGGATCCATCTCTGTTTGTAGAATTCAAAAGTTTCAGTATTAGATGTGGGGCTTGCTAGAGTTCTAAAATTTTACTAGGCTTGTACTTTGCTGGCTTGTTAACTCAGATATGGATGATCAAATTGTTTAATATGTATTTGATTAGTATGCAGTCTGATGACATCTAAACTTTGGTATTTTATTTTTTTTCTTTTGTTGAATTATTTTTGTGGCTCCTTGATTTGTATATTTGTGCATTTCAGTGTCGGTGCTTTGAAGGTTAAGAACACTTGCATTCAGTTCCGCGAATTCTGTCAGCAGAAGAGCAAAGATGGGTTAGTACCTATGTTCATGTACTGCTGTTTTTTGTCATAGTCTTATTGATATTTAGGAGCTCCTAATGTTATTACTGTGAAAACAAAAATTGGTTGCTATGAGCATTTTTTGCATAGTTATCAGCTGTGTGTTCCATTCATGAGTTACCAATGAATATTATCTGCACAAGTCACTGAACCATGTCCTTGCCAGGTGCTTGAAGACACTGGAGACAGTGAGGATTAACTTCTATGAGCTGCGTGGCAAGTTTCAGACCATGCTTCAGGTATTACCTTTTGTGATTAAATTCTTCTGAAAATACCTTTTCCTGTCCATTGAACTAGACTAGCCTTTTGCAGAGAAAAATCTTCTATTCTGAATCTTGCTTGTTATACCTAGTGGTCTAGTGGATAGGATGTATATCATGAGGTAACAATGAAGAACGTAAAATTATGTTAATGGAGTGAGTGCAATTAGTTTCTTTAGCACATGTAAGATAGTAGATTTGAAGAACTACATCTCTAGTTATCGTAATAGAAGTTAGGACTCCAAGAAATCCTAGTGGCGAAACATGTCTGACAGATTATTTTTCATATCTGCATGTTCTTATATCAAGATTCTGTGTAGAATGTTTAGTCCTGTGTTACTCCTTTATTTGGCCATTATATCTTTACATTGTGATGATGAATTTTTCTCTTCTTATCCATGTATAGAAGGCTGATATATGTGTTCTCTGATGTAGCTGGAGCGTCAGGTCAATGGCTTTCCCCCCAACAATTAAACCAGATGGCGGAGTGGAGCTTCATGTTGGGATGATGCATGCACCTTTCAAGTCTCAGAACATTCTGAATGAGCTCCTCAGTTGGCTTCTGGGAAGCCTGTAATAGCTTAGCAGCAGGATTAGTGTTGACACCACCGTAGTAGTAGTCATTGTCGTTGTCTTTGTGTCAATGAAGTAGTCGTCACAAGTGTCTGTGCTGGGTGATGGATCTCCTGCAAGCAGTTGTTGGTGGTCCGTTTACTCTGTAGTAGTCGCTCTCTATCTCTTAGGAGTCTGCCGGTGGAACCTGGTGGTGAAACAAAATAAAATGCTGTGGCTATTGGTTAAGAATAATAGGCTGCTGTGTTTGGTAACATGTGCGTGCTGTGTGATGTGCTATGTGAAAGTGAGCCTGTCGTTGGATCATGGTTTGTATCAATGCAGATTTTTCAGGTTGGTGGCGACGTCAGGGGAGGGCATCCACAGCTAGCAATGGGACCTGTTGGTGATGGTCTGCCCTATCAATGGTTGTTTTGCTACCCCTTGAGTTGTTTCCCCTAACATGCTCTTATCTACATTCTGTACAGAATGTTTAGTCCTTTGTTACTCCTTTCTTGGCCATAATCTTGATATGTTCTTCTGATGCAGCTGGAGCGTCAGATCCAAGGCTTTTCCCTCAAGAAGTAATCCAGAGTGGCGGAATTGATGGAGCTGCATGTTGGGATGATGCATACAGTACACCCCTTTCAGAGTGGCGGAATTAATGGAACATGCTCAATGAGCTCCTCACTTGGCTTCTAGCCTTGTACCTTCTAGGAAGTCTGTAATAGCTCAGCAACAAGATTAGCTGTTGACACTTTTGTATCACCATAATAGTCGTTGCCCTAAGTCCATGTGGGGTGGAGAAGCAAAGAATGCTATGGTTAATAATCTAAGAGTCTGCCGTGATGTATATGAAAGTGAGCCTCTAAGGCTTTGTATCATCTCAATGTGTTGCTTTTGAGGTTTTAATAAAAACTTCCTTTATTAAAAAAAAAAGAGTCTGCAGCGTTTCAGCCTTGTTTAGTTGGGTGAATTTGGATTTTGGGGCTACTGTAGCACGTTCGTTTTTATTTGGCAAATAGTGTTCAAACATGGACTAATTAGGCTCAAAACGTTCGTCTTGTAATTTTCCACCAAACTGTGCAATTAGTTTTTATTTTCGTCTACATTTAATGCTCCATGCACAGACCGCAAACATTCGATGTGACAGGTACTGTAGCAACTTTTTGAACTTTGGAGTCCAACTAAACAGGCGTCATTTCACTGATTTCAGGCTGGTGGCGCGGCGGCAGGTGAGGGGGAGGGGCAGGGCAACCTGAGGTGACTTGAGCCGTTGGTGATGAGTGATGACCTCCCCAATCTCCAGGTGACTTGTGCCGTGAATCTGCAGTGCTAGGCATCGCATCATACAGGTGATGACGGTTTGAATTCAGCGCACTAAATTACGTGCGAAGATTTCATGAAAAATCCAGATAGGCAGGCTTTAGTACCTGGTGTTTAAATCCAGAAGTAAAGTTTAAGGATATTAGGTCAGGATATCATATGGGAGTGTTTAGATAGTAATAATAAAATAAATTACAGAAGTCCTCAGTAATCCACGAGACGAATTTATTAAGCCTAATTAATCCGTTATTAGCATATGTTTACTGTAGCACAGCATTGTCAAATCATGGACTAATTAGGTTTAAAAATTTTGTCTAGTAAATTACTCGCAATCTGTGTAATTAATTATTTTTTTAGTCTATATTTAATACTCTATACATATATTTAAACATTCGATGGGATAGAAAGTAAACTTTAGAAGACGAACAAAACAATCCGGCGTCAGTGGCGAGTCCTGGGCATTTGCATTTGCATTTGCAGTGTCTTCGGGAATAAAACCTGGGCAGTTGTAACAGTCCTGGGGATGCCAATGAATCACCGATCCATCACTTGGCAGCTCTGCATTGCACTGCTGCCTGCACTGCGCTGCACTGAATGGCATTGGCACTGCATTGTGCCTGTCTCTGTCTGCTGTCTCGTACGTTGCCAGCCTTGGCCGCTTGCGTAGGCTATAGCAAGCCTGATGCTCGGTGTTGCATTACATCTACTCCTCTTTGGGTTTGGAAATCCGTGCGCAAGCTCATTTTTGAGTTGGACCACCGCAGCCTTAGGCTTGTTTGGTTACACTCTAATACAACCCAATTCGTAGGGTTAGGTTAATCTCCCATCTTAATCCCTCTCCAGACTGAGTTGGATTAGAATATGTAGCCAAACAAGCTTTTCATTGGTCCTAATACTTCTTGGGCAGAAAATGAACCGATGGCCTAAGATTGGGGAGGTTGTTAAAAAAGTTAAACCTTGTTATACCACCCCATCCACTATAACAACATACAACAATACCTTCTTCAATTTCCTCATTAGCTTGATTTTCCTCCATAGGTTTTCTAATGTCCACAACGCATGAAGAAGAACGCAATCAGCTTTGTGTACCGATTAAAGCTTCAACCATGCTAGCTGATAGTGAAGTTTGAAACGAATCTAGAATTCTTTCTCCTGTAGTAAATGAAGATTATGAAGCAACCATAGAAACACAGGAACGGCTAAAACATCCTTTGCTAACTTAAGACAGTATGGGGTACTTGTTTGAGTTACAATTCCACCACGATATTAAATCAAAATCATATGTAATCTTTTCATAGTTCTCTGTAAGATATCTAGATAATTTTGAATTACTTTCTCTACTCTCAATTTATTCCAAAGTGCATAGAGAACTGAGATGCTAGCAAGATACATCGATTCTCCTCATGCTCACCCACATCAATGAGTAGTGGTGGTTGATTGTATTGCTATGACTAGCCCATGCAGCGGACGCAACATAGCAATAAAAAAAATGACGGATATCATTTTCTATTTTACCAATAAGCTCCTTTGTCTTTGTTGGACCATAAATCCCCAAGAAAAAAACTAATAAACTTCACCTTGTAACGAGGATCTAAGATGAGCACAATAAATAGTAAGTTGTTCAGGTCCTCCTTGTCCTCCGAATATTTACTAAAATTCTTCTTCATATGTTCAGACATTCCAACTATGAAGGCATCACTATTTCCAGCACGTTCATCTAACGACTGCATTAGAACAAACTCATGAAACAATTCAATTGATGTCACATGTAGAGAACCAGAGAGACGCACTGACTTTGTAGAATACCTTCAATAAATAAATGACACGCCTAGCATTACACCAATAATTCTCATTTGGAGGAAGATTGCCCTCAAACTATGCTTTAAACTGTTTGTTCTCCTTATTTAGCCTTGCAAAAGCCTTCTCAAATATAATTGCATTATCCAACATGAGATACCTAGCATTCCAACTTGTGTCTATGTCTAAAGACAAGAGTATTTTCCTAGAAATCTTTTCCTTCTGTGTGCATGTTTCTTGAATTGTTGTAGCCTCGCTGGGGAGGATCTCATAAACATGTGACTACAATTCTCATTCTGTCGATTGAATGATTGGTAACTTCTATTCCACTTTTTACAATCAAAATTACTATGTGTGCCCACCATCTCATGTGTATGAATTCATGCCGCAACACTGACCCTCCCATGATTTACTCAAATCCTAAATGTAGTTGATTGCACCATCATTGGAGCTAGCATTGTCGCCTATGATAGTAAAAATATGATCTACATCCCACTCAAGCTAACATTCTTCACCTTTTCTACCTAGATCTTTCCTTTGTTATCGTCAACCAAGTAAACACTTCTTTGTAACGGCCAACTATCATCAATCCAATGGGTTGTGAGAACCATATAGTTGAGGCTTTTATTTGAACTCTAAATATCTATCGTGAGGCTAACATGTTGCTTCTTCAAAAAAAATCTATGCATGGCGAAGGATTTATCAAATATTCAAGTACACTCTCAAACCAATATTTGATATTCCATCTAGAACCACAATTGCAAGAGACGCCATGTGTATGTTCCTAGAGGAAAAGGCAAATATGATTTTTTTTGAAGAAGCAACGTGTCAACTTCACCACATATACTTGTAGTTCAAATCAAAACCTCAACTATATGGTTCTCACAACCCATTGAATTGATGGCAGGTGGATGTTACAAAGAAGGATTGTAAACTTTTCCTTGGTTGACGAACACAAAGGACAAGAGAGACCTTTGGTAGAAAAATTGAAAAATCTTTGCTTGAGTGGGGGGTGTATAGACCACATTTTCACTATCACAATTGACAATGGTAGTTCCAATGATGGTCCAATCAACTACATTAAGGATTTGAATAAATCATGGGAGGGGACAATGTTACGGCATGAATTTATACATATGAGATGTTGTCCACACATAGTAAATATGATTGTAAAAAGTGGATTAGAAGTTACCAATGATTCAATTGATAAAATTAGAATTGCAGTCATGTTTGTGGGATACCCTAGTGAGGCTACAACAATTCAAGAAATGTGCTAAGAAGGAAAATATTTCTAGGAAAAGACTCTTGTCTTTTGACAAAGACACAAGGTGGAAGCTACATATCTCATGCTGGATAATGCAATTATATTTGAGAAGGCTTTTGCAAGGCGAAATAAGGAGAACTACAAATAGTTCAAAATATATTTTGAGGGCAATCTTCCTCTAAATGAGAATGATTGGTGTAATGCTCTAGACGTGTCATTTATTTATTGAAGGTATTCTACAAAGTCACAGTGTGTCATCAAGTGGATTCTTTCATGAGTTTGTTCCAATGCACTCAAAGTCAGATGAACTTGTTGGAAACAGTGATCCTTTAGTTGGAATGTCTGAACGTATGAAGAAGAAGTTTAGTAAACATTGGGAGGACAAGGAGGATCTGAACAACTTACTATTTATTGCGCTCATCTTAGATCCTCATTACAAGGTGAAGTTTATTAGTTTTTTTTTCTTCTTGGGGATTTACGCTCCAACAAAGACAATGGAGCTTTGACACTGCAGAACAACACACTCCTCTTGAAGCAACTCCACAAATTTTGTAACAAAGACGATGTGCCTTGGGTCCGGCTTGTTTGGGACAAGTACTACAATGGCAAAGTTCCCCGTGCCTGTAGAGCGACTGGCTCCTTCTTGTGGCGAGATGTAATGTGTCTCAACATCATATGTAGGGGATTGCAAGATGCACCCTAGGAGATGGCTCCACTGTTTCTTTTTGGGATGATCTTTAGTCAGATTTGGGGCTATCCTATCAATATCCAAGACTGTACTCTTTTGTCAGAAACTCATCGGTCTCGGTCCAGGAGATGATGCAAGAAGAAGACCTGGGCGCCATGTTTGTACTTCCGCTATCAATACAGGCCCATGAAGAGATGCAGCACCTACAAAGTCATCTTGAAGCCATGCCATATGATGACAGTTGCCCTAACATTGATCTGGGGGCTAATTATTATTCTAAGAGGTTATATGCTCATGCTTTCAGTGGAGTGGAAGCCCACCCTTTCTTCAAAAAGCTCTAGAAGTCTCACTGCACCCCCCGAGTAAAGTTCTTTGCGTGTCTAATTTTGATGGATCAGTTAAACACAAAAACGATGCTAAGAAGGAGGAATCTGAACATCCATGTTGACACTCTCTATTGCTGGGGTAGATGAAGACATTGATAATCTTTTCTTTGAATGTCCCTTTGCTGGACAATGCTGGCCATCCATCAATATTGCTTGGGATATCTTTTTGCCGCTACCAGAAAGATTTGCAAAGGCACGGGAGAT